ATTTAAGGTCGAGAAAGCCCTAAGGCCTGGACCCTAGACCCCTCTGATCTATCATGCCCAGTACCGACATGCCGAAAACCAGGCCTTGACACTTTTCAACCCCGTAACTTGGGTTTAGGGTTACGGGTTTAGGGGTTTAGGGGTTTAGGGGTTTAGGGGTTTAGAGGTTTAGGGGTTTAGGGGTTTAGGGGTCTAGGGGTTTAGGGTTTAGGGTTAGGGAGAGACCCTCCCTATTCCTCACGCGAAGGTGCTTCGATGCCTACGCCAGGGTCTGCATGGCCCTGGGCGCCAACCAGCTGCTCGTCCTGCTCGAAAGCCTAAACGCCTCAGACCTTAGGGTTTAGGGTTTAGGGTTCAGCATCTCAAGTCCAAGCATTCACTAGTCAAGCATGACTCCAGAGCAATACCCACCCGCCCCAAGAATCCCATAACATTAAGAACATATTTCACTTATAGAACGACCTTGCCCAGAAAAAAGTGACCTTGCCCAGTAAAAAATGACCTTGCCCAGTAAACACATGATAAGCCCTAAACCCTAAACCCTAAGCCCTAAGCCCTAAACCCTAAACCCTAAACCCTCAACCCTAAACCCCAAACCCTAAACCCTAAACCCAAATCCAACCTACACACCTGCTGTTTTCCCCAAAGTTGCCCGCGGGCTCTGCTGCCCTTAAGGCTTCTTCTGGGCTTGCAGTACTTCCTCGTGGTGACCAGCGTGATCCAGTATCGGTGCCCCATGGAGCTTAGGGTTTAGGGTTTAGGGTTTCGGGTTTAGGGTTTAGGGTTTAGGTTTAGGGTTTGCGGTTTAGGGTTTACGGTTTATGGTTTAAGGTGTAGTTTTGGGGTTTTGGGGGTTTAGGGCTGGGGACTCGGCACCCTGAACTTTGAGCGCCCAGGGTTATGAGCCTGAACCATAAACCCCAAACCCTTAACCCGAAACCCTAAACCCGAAACCCTAAACCCGAAACGCTAAACCCGAAACCCCAAACCCGAAACCCCAATTCCTAAGCCCCAAGCCCGAAACCCGGACACCCGGCAGCCCGAAACCCTAAACCCTAAACCCTAAACCCTAAACCCTAAACCCTAACCCCTAAACCCCTAACCCGTAAACCTCAGCACCCGAAGGTGCCCAAGCCTCTGCTTTGCGCTCATCACCGGCTTCAACTGCGGCGGCCTGGTGCTGGCCACCCTAGACCTGGCCGGCATCGGCGCCTCGGGTTTAGGGTTTTGAGGTCTTTTAAGGATTTTAGCGGTTTTTTAGGTTTCCTTTTTAGGGTTTTGAGGTTTTTAAGGATTTTTAGCGGTTCTTAGGTCTTCTTTTTAGGGTTTCGCTGGAAGAGAGGGACTGGTTCAGGGTGAAGGTTCGAAGGTTTGGCTTGAAGGTTCAGGGTTTTTCAGGGTTTTTTAGGGTTTAAAAGGTTTTTGAAGGTTTGCAAGGTTTGAAGGTGTGGGTGTGAAGGTTAGGGTTTCAGGCTTTTAAGGCTTTAGGGTTCTAGGGTTTTAGGGGTTTTCGGATTCTCGGGTTATAGGGTTGTAGGGTTTTCGGGCTTTTAGGCCGTTTTGGGCTTGTAGGGTTCTGGGGATTTAGGGTTTTTAGGGTGATGAGGAGGTTGAGGGGTCTTGTTCGCTGAGGGGTACCCTCTTGCCCTATTTTGGGTTCTGGGTTCCCTTATGAAATAAAGTACCCGACCCCCAAGACGGGTACTATAGAGGTCGGAAAAAATTACAACATCGTATCCCCTTTATCATTACACTAGAGCACCCAAAACCCTATTCTAATTCTTAAGGCCCCGATAGTACCCTTCTGATTTGTGGTTGCTGGGCTCTCAAGGGGTTTGGGAGTCCTTTTCGCTTTTGCGATTGGGGCTTGCTTTGGCTTTTGGGTTGATGAGGCGTGGTGACTGCCTCAGGGCCTTGGGGCCGGGTGTAGGGTGGGTGTAGGGGCTCCCTAAACCCTAAGCCCTAAACTAAACCCCACCCCCTCAACCCTCAAACTGTAAACTGTACTGGCATCAACCTGCTGTCGTGGTTTTGGGGCCTTGAACATAGGGTTCGGTACCGGGCAATTCTAAGTCTTTGTTTGGGGTTTGACCCCCAAACCTCGAAACAAGCACAAAGCCCACTCAAACCCGCAAAACGCCTGAAACGCCTGAGCACCAGAAACCCCAGAAGCCATGATTCCAATCCCCCAGAACCCCTGAAACCCTGAAACCCGGAAACCCTAAACTCCCTTAAGGCTGAAGAAACCCTGAACCCTAAACCCCATGTCCCATACTCCAGGTGCTTTAAACCTTTCAAACCCTAAACCCTAAACCCTAAACCCGAAACCCTAAACCCTAAACCCTAAACCCTAAACCCTAAACCCTAAACCCTAAACCCTAAACCCTAAACCCCATATTCGAGGTGCCTTGAAGGTGGTGCTCCTGCAGATGCTTGGGTCTGTCCCTGTTTGGATCGCTTCGATCAGTCTTGTCGCCGGGACCGCAGGGTGCTCCCAGAG